TATCTGATTGCATTTACCCCTACACAGGACTACTTGAGGTTGTGAGTTTGAATCCTCTTCCCCCAATATCATTTGAGAAAAAATAATTTGTTTGTCTGGTACATGCCCTTCAGTTTTAGAACCATTTAACCTTACATTCTGTGGTCGAAGTACGTACTCAATTATCGCTATATACCATTATTTGATATCACTGTACGGTTCTAGCTCTCTAATCCAGCATCTGGCTCATTGGATGCCCAATGCTAATTCTGCGCTTTGCCTGCTAAGCTAAGTAACAAATGCATGTCTGTAAGCATTATTGATAAGAAATGCATGGCCATTTATATTTTTCATAAGAAATGCATAATCATATATTTATTTTTATAAGAAATGCATGATATATAGCAGATGACCTGTTTTACCCTGTGCTGCATGCTTTATGCCAATGCCAGAACGGACACATGATCTAATTGAATAGGTTTTCTTGTAAATGTGAATATCTAATCATATTGAATTGTCTACATATGATCGTGCACCAATGTGTTCAACCAATTTCTTAAGAATATAGCTCTTGGCTAAGAATAAATTGGAAGTACTTAAGTGGGTCAACAGACCTAACGGATCTGGTGGTCTGTTTCTTATCAATAATGAAATGACCTCCATGTATATCAGGGCATGGATTAATAATTTTTAAAACTAAGTATACATCTTGGCTCAAGTGGAATCTTTTCTTCTTGATTTAAAGGTCACCAGCCATCAAGCGCCATATGCCCATATGATCTACAGCATTCTCAGCTCATTCTGTGTTAGGGGTTTCTCTTGACTGATGATCGAATTGATCTGCAGAATGTGGGTGCAGGAGGAAGGATTCGCAGGAACAAGGCTTCTTGTGGTTGCCCAATGCTTAGAAAACATAAACTACAAAAGGAATTCAGGAGCATGATGTCTCAACAAGGTGCCTTGGATATTGAAGATCTTGTTCATCTTGGAAAAAGCATGAGGACTTGTCCATATTATGGCTCCCGAAGCATGGTTGCTGTTGCTGATCTGGTGGTTCTACCGTATCAATCTCTACTTTCAAAAGCATCTCGCGAGTCACTTGGGCTCAATTTAAAGAATAATATCGTTATTATAGATGAGGCTCACAATCTAGCTGACTCCTTAATCAGCATGTATGACTCAAGAATCACTATGTCGCAGGTAATCAAATTATGAGCTTTTATTGAGCTAATAACTTGAAAGCTACTGGATTATCTTTCTTTTTCATTCATATAACTAGTTTGGGTGCTTCTGACTGCTTGTCTAAATCTATCAAAATATATGATCCAACGATAGAATAGCAGTCAACTTTAACATATGTAGCATTCTGTAGTCTTCACTATGTATAGTCTAAGGTTAGCACTGTCCAAGGTTAGAACCTTAATATGCGCCACCAAGTAAGCTTCTGGTGTTGATAGTATAGGTTTTCGATACAAATTGTAATTTGATATCTTAGCAGTTCTCCTGACTTCTTTACAGCTGGAGGATGTGCACAGCCACATTGAGAAGTACTTCGAAAGATTTTGCAATGTATTGGGACCTGGTAATCGTAGATATATCCAAACTCTCATGGTACTCACTCGGGCTTTCCGCCAAGTGTTTCTCAAAGATGATAGAAGTTGTGGAGATTCCTGCCGTGATACTGAAAAGGCTTCTGGAGCAAGTGGGACGTCTACTTCCTCTGTGGCCATTAATGATTTTTTATTTACCCTCAATGTAGACAACATCAACTTGGTCAAATTGCTTCAGTATATAAAGGAAAGCAACATCATGCACAAGGTGAATCCTTCTTGCCATTGTATATTGTTACCTGGTGCTATTCTTCCTTCTCTTTCCATGATCTATAGGTTAAAATGTACTTGGTGTGCCAGGTTAGTGGGTATGGCGATAAAGTAGCTAGCTTTCAAAAAAATGTGGCACTTAATGGCGGTGAAGACGGAAGCACTCTGTCCAGTTTCCGAGCATTAACAAATTTGTTGCTATCACTGACAAATAAAGATGGTGATGGGAGGATTATCATCTCAAGGACTAGTACAACATGCTCTAGAGAGGAAGGACGATATATAAAATATGTTATGCTCACTGGGGATAAGATTTTTTCTGAGGTTTGCCAAAAATTGCTTATTCTGACATAGCTTGTTTCCATAGCCTAGTATTCATGTCCTACTTATGAAACATTAACTCTCAACCTTACACAGATTGTAGATCAAGCACATTCTGTAGTACTGGCTGGGGGAACTCTGCAACCTATAGAAGAAACAAGGGAGCGACTCTTCCCTTGGTTACCACCGGACCAGTTGCAATTCTTTTCATGCAGTCACATTGTTCCTCCGGAGAGCATTTTACCAGTTGCAGTTTCCCGTGGCCCTTCTGGTCACACTTTTGATTTTAGCTACAGCTCCAGAAGGTCATCAATCATGGCAAGTATATTGCAATCTTATCTGAATATATTTATGGAAACTACTCTCTTTTGAGCGTTTTCGGATGAAGTCATTACTATGTCATTATTGTATTTATCACCGTTTATTCTCCTATTTTGTTTTGAAAATATAATACACAGTTCAAGCCCAGTGGAAAGATTATTTTTTATGTCAAGTACAGTTGCATCCTTTTTCTGCTTATTGCTTTTTTTGGGGTTCATTATACATGGTGGCTGACTATTTAAGTTGATGGGCTTGGATTTACAGATACAAGAACTAGGGCAATTGCTTTGTAATTTGGTGACAGTGGTTCCTGAGGGAATTGTTGTCTTCTTCTCCTCATTTGATTATGAAGGGCAAGTTTATGATGCCTGGGAGGCTTCAGGTATCCTTGAAAGGATTAAGAAGAAGAAGCGTCTATTTAGAGAGCCTAGAAAGAATACATATGTAGAATCTGTTCTCAAGGAATATAAGGAAACAATTGATACATTGTCTTCCGGGGAGCAGAAAGAAAATCATTCTCAAAGTGGTGCAATGCTTCTTGCTGTTGTTGGTGGTAAGATATCAGAAGGCATCAACTTAAGTGATGGGATGGGCCGGTGTATAGTCATGGTTGGACTGCCCTATGCTAGCCCTTCTGATATTGAGTTAATGGAGAGGGTGAAGTATATTGAAGGGTTGGGAGATTCAGATTCCACTAAGACACCAAATCTTTCACTTGGTAATGAACTGTGCAGTGGAGAAGTACATGCAGGTTTTAATGTCCTCAGAAGTTGCAGACGCAGAGGAAAAGAATATTATGAGAATCTTTGCATGAAAGCTGTTAATCAGTCCATTGGTATGTTGTTTTACAATTTTAAATATTTTTCAAAAGCATGAAGCCTGACCAACCTAAAGATGTTTTTTTTGAAACTATGCATGAATAATCTAGAATAAGGTTAAGGCTGAACCAGGAAATCCAATGCCCATCCAAACATGATTCTCCAAATATTCTCACTATCAAGTTCTGCAAATGCTGACCAGCCCCCTTTTGTATGCCATCCATTTAGCTGCAGTCCTATGATCATCTTTTTTTTGTTACTGATGTAAACATATTTTGAAGTCAGTTTCTCATTCAATTGTCTTGACATGGGTTTTTTCCTTGACTGTATTAGGTAGGGCAATCCGGCATATAAATGACTATGCAGCAATTTTACTAGTCGACACACGGTACGCATCTGATTCCTCCAAACGAAATTTTTACCATCCAACGAGCAAGCTTCCTCAGTGGATAAAGGATCGCTTCATTGCTTCAACCGATTATGGTGAAGTTCATAGAATGTTGCATCAGTTCTTCAAACATAACAAGAAGAGATGGTTGCAGCAATGAGTTGTATTGAGGAAGTAGCTGAGATTGAGAAGAGAAGCAAGACTCTATAGCTCAGTAAATCTTATAAAGCTATGTATTCACTTGATTGCATAATATGCAGGTAAAGCCATGCATTAGTTCTATTTTCATATTCTTTTTAGTTGCGTGGGCCGCAGCAGCTATAGGAGTAGTAGTGGTGCTGAAACAAAACAAAAGAAAACAAGCAAATAGAAATATTTAAAAAGTATATGTTTGATAGGATTGTAAAGAATGATTTGATGTGGATAATCTCTTAATATGTTTGATACAATGAAATGGTTGGATGTCAAGAGGAAAATCTCAAGAAGGATCTACAATAGTTACATTGAATTGACAAATAAGACAAGCAAAACCATGCCACAAAAACAAGCCTAAACATATGTGATTACAGAAGTTGTGAAGAGTTGGGTCTTCTTGCAGCCTGGAAGGTGGCTCATTAATGACCAGACCCAACTTGTCATTCTGAAGTCACAATCTTGTGCACTGAGTTGTATAAATAAGGCCAACATCATTTACCATTCCTCTGCAGACTGCAACAGATTTTAAAGTATGAGAGGATGGAGGGAGGTTTGTTTTTAATAATGGCAACTGTGAGAAAGTGACCTGAGTGTGCAGAATTCCAAATGCACCTTATCCTGATATCAGCAGAACATGGCAGCAGCCTTGCAGAAGGGGACCAGGCAGCTCCTTCTTTTAATATAATGGGAATTGTGATTAGTCCAATTAATTCAAATTAATCTTGTTTTTAAGGGTCACCTAATCCCAAATTATTTTGCTAATCAGAACTAGTTGACTCTTGATCTACTACAAGGCCTGCTGCTTGTGTGTACTTCTAGAACGGTTTTGGCACCCACAATGTCATACTAATTTCTTATGTTATGACTGTGGGGCAGACTTCTCTAATGATCAAACAGGACCATTGGGGTATATGGGCCACATGGGCCGAAATTTAGGCAACACATTCAATTTTTTATTTTGTTTTTGTTTTGTTTTTAACAACAATTAATTTTTGCATTCGCCAATCCACTACCTTTAACCTTATTAAATTACAGCACCACTGCCTTTAGGCTTTAGCTTTGCATCTTAATCAATGCCACTGCACTTTATACAACAAGTAGTCAAAAACAAAAAAATATATGGTATAATTGGACCCCAACGTCCGCAATCTGGTAATCTACTTTTTAGTGTCTTTTGAATATCTTGAATGTGTCTCCATTAAACTATTGACAAACTTTAATTTGCTCAAAGCCATAATAAGCCAGGCCTTCTGATCTATGATCATATAATCAGTTGAGTCAATAGCTTGAGAGAGAGACAGAGAGAGAGAGATTTGAAGCAATATCAGAAGAGGAGCTTGAACTGAGCTTGAACTGTCTAATCTCTCTCATCTGTTACATTGAAGCAATATCAGAAGAGGAGAGATTTGAAGCCAAAACAGATTAGGGTTTTGTCTGTTCTTGTAGACTGAGGCAGTGAGGGAAAGAGAGGAACAACTAGCCTTGCTATACTTTAGTAGAGCCAGCAATGGTGCTACAAGAAACCATTCATAACAGCAAAAACTTCTTTCACAAAACTCTTGGAAACCTCAAGTCCTTCTTTGGTGGATACAAGAAATTGCCCAAAACCCTTTCTTTCAATCCCTTCTATTGTGGGAGAGACCCGAAATATCACCCAACAGATCAGTTCTACACTGATTTTTATGATGACTGGGAGTCTACTCTAAATCAGGCAAACAAGAGAGATGGTGCTTCAAAAGAACCAACAGAGGAAGATGATGCATGTAATGGGAGCTTTCTGGATTTTTCAAAGCAGAGTCCTAAGAAGAGCAAACAAGAAGGGGGATTAAAGCAAAAGAAGCAGATGGGAAGTTCTCATCATCTGGGAAAAAAAGAAGTTCAGTCATCTTTGCAGAGCATGAATGGAGGAGGCTTAGCTAAAAGGATGAAGGAATTCGAAATGGTGGATACCAGTGATGTAGAACAAGTGCTGGATGTAGAAGAGGCACTTCATTACTACTCTCGCCTCAAAAGTCCGGTATACGTTGACATTGTTGATAAATTCTTCTTGGATATGTACTCGGACTTCTCTGTTCCACCGGCGTCTATCAACATCAACAATTCAAAGAGGAGACTTGGATCACAGAGACTTGGCTCAATTAGGTTGTAGATGAATGTGTTGGTGATTTATTCCTTGTGCATATAGATCTGTTGTTCTTTCCCCATTTTGTTTCCTTTTCCACTTTGTGTGTAACTCCCCGTTGTTTGTGTGTGTGTTTGGTTTTTATTTTCACTTTGCAAAGCTTGTACACCTTTCTGAATCCAATACTGTTTGTTTGAATCTGTCTTGTGACCCCATAGGCACTAGCATTAGGTGCCTTCTTCCATGAAGATACTTAATTGCAAGCAGCACAGGTTTTCTGTAATAACAATAATTTCTAGCCATGACTCACTTCAAAATGTCATGTATAGGATATTTCCTTTTCAAGCATCTTTGCACTCACTCACATTAGAGCCTGTTCATCAATGAAAACCTGCATTAACTTTTCCCCTGTGATTAGATAAGTGTTTCACTGCAGCTCAATATGAACGTGAATTAGTGAATCGGATTCAGGAATTAAACTGACTTTTTAGACAATTTAAAACCATCTCTAGGGTCTCAACAAGTATCTAGAGCCATGTCCTATTCTGGAAACTCAAACTACGAGAAAACAACAAGAAGAAAAAAAACAAATCTGAGAGCTTGATCATTGCCATGGCAAAGTCTGGCCAGAACAAGTAGGCATCAACAGCATATCCTCAAACGCAATTCCAAGTTCCTTCCCCAGCCATCAGCTGCTGGTCAGAGAATTCATGTACCTTGTAGAAGACTCTGACTGTTATTGCATGTTGATCTCATGAGGTGAAGGAAGTCAACATCTAAAGATGGGGTCAGGCTCATGGCTACCACTGAAGTTATAGAAACGGTTTTCGAAGAATCTGCAGTGTATCACTCCAATGCTGCGAGAAAGAGCAGACACCTACAAAGCAATGAGCAACTTTTACAAATATTCATATCAGTCAGACATCCAGTTTGGGATATTACCGTACAAAACCAGCTGGAGCCCGGATACTAGTTATAAATCTACCAGACAAACCGTGATCCAATTGAACAGAATTAACTACATTTCTTTCTTTCTTTGGAACCGAGTTAACTACATTTCTACTGTAATCATCAAAGATGACGAAATCCTCCAGGTAACCTGAAAATTAGTGAAGGGAAAAAAAATAGAGTTTCAATCTTATGTTTTATGTTGTTTTGGTTTAACCCAAGAAACACAATAAAGAAATGGGAAACTGCGGGTCATGAGCCCAAATCAAAGCTCGAACTTAAACATAGAGAATGGATTGTGCTTTTGAGCCTGCGTCGCTCCAACTGCTCCTCTGCCTTCTCCGCGAGCTGTTCTACATCAAGGATGAATGCCAAAGAGGCTGACAGTTTCTCTTTCACCAAATCCCCCTGATGCAAAGGATGCAAGGGCCTCCGGTAAAGTACTTTGGGAGAAAGCAGCTCGTATGTTGCAAGAAAGTGTACTGTCTTTCAGCAAATGAGTTCATCAGTGAGATGAAAACGCAGAATCCACATCAAAGAGTTGCAACTTGTTAGCCTCGCAAGGTTTTAAACGAACATGGTGGCGGGTAGATAGAATGTGAAATGACAAAAACGACCTCATGTTTTAAAGAAAGTTGGTGTCAATTGCGATATCAATTTGAAGTAAATGGGTCACTACTGGATTAGGAAATGACCCAAAACGGGTCATAGATCTTGAGATTAACCAAATAACTTACGAAAGAAGCTCCAGCTTGACACAAGCTGAGTTGTTTAAGTAGAGCCTCCGAAAGTTTATTAGAATAAACTTTGATGTCATTGTTACTATGAATTACAAACATGAAAAATTCTGCAGAATTTAAAGGATGAAGAAGAACATGAAAATCTGGTATGTATAACCTGCTGAAGAAGACGGGTACAAGCACTAAGCAGTCCAACTAATTTTAATCAAATTACAACAATCCAGAACTTTACAAAAGCATGGGAATCCATACAATGGCTAGTAAAAAATGATATCCAATTCTCATAAAAATCTTACACTGTAAAATAAAAATTGGACAGTCCAAGGAAAACTCCAAGTCCCTGAGGCCTGGTAGAGTTTACATGAAGAATTACCCAACAAATGACCCACATAAGATGCCAATTTCATCTTCTGCTTCCGCTTATATCTCACGAAAAAAAAAAAGAATTACCCAATCCTTTATGCTATTGTGAACACCATCTTGCAATAAAATTTTGTTGAGCAGCACCACTTGATCTAACTATATAATCTCCAGTTCCGCATGAATTCAGTAACCAGAAGAAGATACAAGAACATTATGTTCTTTTAAACGCTTCTGGAAATGAGCTAAACGGGTTTGTAATTGCAGAATGCCTGCAGCCTTCTGAGATAGAATGGTGTTCAATCTAGTAACATAATCGTCCAGCTGATTCCCCGGTTGATCTGCTTCTACCAACAGATTCATCTCCTGCAAATTCATTACACAAGTCAAAACTTCATACATACATAATCAGGTCCGCCAGAACTCACCACATGCTTGGAAATCTAAGAAAACAATAAATCATCAAAAGGTATGCATCAGGCTATCTGCATTTAGAAACTCAAGAAACCCATCCAGTTGCACATTCTTGCATGCTAAAATATGAAACAAAAAATTATACAAAAAATCATTCAAGCCTCAATTATGAATTGAAATCGCATACCTCTTTAACAATATTCATGGTGTCCTCAACTTGTTTCCGGTGAGCACTCACAAGATCTTCCTCCTCCTGGAAACATGCAACATAGGCTTTACACGTTAACAAAACTCTGGTTTATAACTCTATGTAGTGGTTAATCCTATCCGTAGAAATTATAGAAAGTTTATATCACAAATTGTTCTGCCACACAAATTGTTCTGCCGCACCATTTTCTGAACTATTTGTATCATGTCTTTGTACTTAAGTCTTTTGTTGTTATTACCTGTAACAGGGCATTTAAATCATCATCTGAATTTGAGTTCCTTGAATGAAACTTTGGCAGTTCCAATTTTGTCTGACCATTTGGCTTACGAACTTTGTCCTCTGAAGCTGAAACATTGTACTGCTCTAGCTTCCCATTTCTCTTCCATAATGTTTTGGCCTCATAATAGGGCTCTTCTGAAGCATCAAATTCCTCTTTTTCAACTTGAACAGGCCATGTATCATTTGTGTCAACCTCAAAGGTAGAAGCAGTGGGCAAAGCTGAAGGTAAGGGTAAATTTGTTGGTTCCTTGAGGTTTAAGGTTGAAGGTAGCATATCCTTCTTAGGGTTGCTCCCTTTCGAAAGGCTCTTCACCCTAGAATGTAATTTTAGTAGCAAGAAAACATTAGAAGGGGAATGAATGAGTAACATATATATACCATGAAATTTACTTCTACAAAAATGCATTTTACCTGTCAGCATATCTTAAAGTGTTGAGAGTATGTTCGCAGGATCCGGAGCTTGGTGATATGCATGATATCATCACAGTACGGGAGTCACCCACAAATGAATCCCTAAGAACTTCAGTTAATTTACTTCCTCGGAAAGGAATATGACCCTGGTCATTGTCAAGAGCTCTAATGCATTCCTTCAATGCAAGTAAGCTCTTATTAATCTCAGCACCTTCCATTCTGCATCATTTTTTTTGAAACAGCTATTTTAGCAGCAATCCACCAAATATCGAGAAAAGAGCATCTAAATCTTATATGTGATTTGAGCTATGATGTTTTTTCACCATCCTTCAACTCCAACACCAAATTACTTCCCTTTCTTATATCCCAAACTTTTCATCGACTGATGGGACATGTGTAAAAAATTAAGTTTTCCACTATCCCCAACAATAAGACAAAACAGGAGAAGACAGATATCTTAAGTCTAATATATTAAACAGCGACTTCCGGCACAGTATGCTACTATATATACATACATTCACAGATATGAAAAGTGATAGGCTTTCCTCTGGGATAAAATTAATTGAAGATGGAATGAACTATACCTTGTCTGTTTGTCATTATCTGTAGTATCTGCACCACGTTCGCTTCCAGCAAGATCAATGAAGGACAGCTTGCCAACAAGTCGGGGAGGCTTTGATTCACTGCCATCAACTGACCTCTTAATAGCAAGCTGAAGTATGGCATGTGAACGAGAGGATTCTTCATTTGCCCCAGTTGTACCAGTACTTCTTGTGGCACTTCCTCTTTCAATCAGTTCCTTAATGGTTTCCACATCTGACACTCTGTATTCTTGCAAACCCACAATACAAACTTGTTGCTTGCCGTCCTCTCTCATGCAAAGCTTCCTGTAGAATTTGAATTGTAAGTTTCAAGTTATCTTAAACCTCTTAATACTAACTAGAGGAGAAAGGATAGAATGGCTTACTTTCGATCGTTGAGGAGATCAAAAAGTTTTCCCCCATATATTTCGAAGAAGCTCACAAATAACTGAAATCCCTGACTACGGTAAGTATGGTGCATCAACCTCAAGATGTCTCGTGATGCTTTAAGAGGCAATGGTTTCATGGTATATGTTTTTCCACTCCCTGAATAGGCAACCGAAACATACTTTGATTAGTAAATCTACCAGATATTTAATGCCTCAAAAAGACATCAATCAAAGTCCCAAGGGTGAAAAATAATAAAATGGTATTAGTTGACATTTCCTCAATATTTTAGGCCAATTTCCCTTGAGATTTTGATGTAAACAAATGAGCAATTTAAATATAGAGAAAGGAAAATTTCACATATTTTAAGCATGTGAGTCTCTGTGGGTGTGTAATGATGAAGGAAAATAATTTTCCTTATTTAAATTACTTAGCATTGTTAGGAAGTTTACACCACTCCACACTAAATGTAGGAAAATATACTCAGAGTAGGTCTATCAGGAGGTGTCATCAACTTAAAGTGTGTATGGTAAGATAATCCAGGTGGAACATTATCAGAATGATTTACTGTTTATCAAATATAAGAATAAGGATGTAAAACCTACAAGGAAAAATACTATAATATTACATGTAAAATTATACAGAGTTGTTCAACAAGTCTGTAAAAAAACCATAGATTTGAGACGGCCACTAACCAGTTTGTCCATACGCAAAACAAGTTGCCTTTGTTCGCTGGAATATTATTGGAACTATGGGCTCCACAGTCTCATGATACACCTACAGGTACAGGATGAAAACAGTATGATAAGCAGCCTAAAGCATAGTGAGAGACGTGTTTCAAATATAATGTTAGTGATAATAATTCAATAATT